ATTATATAAAAATGTATGTTTCGTATTTGACAATTTCAGAGCCGAGTAGTGTACTGTTGTACCAGACATCCAAAATAAGTCAAACTCATCGGTCTTCAACTAAATCTGGTATCTGAGACATATATGTACCATTATTCCCCCACATATGTTCGAACTCAAAGAGATGCTCTCACATCCAATGACTTGATATTGAAAAATCGGACCATTCCCGATCAGTCCCGTCACCAAAACACAAAACGGCACTGAACACTATCACGAGGAGTTGCGTACATTTCTCGAGCTTAGCTTTTCGAAGCTCTTCTCGCAGTACATCGCAATTGATGTTGTACGCTATCAGATCCAATTCCTCTGCACGAGACCATCTGGTGCCTTGTTGAAGCTGGGTCGTTTTCTCAGCATGTTTGGGGTTAGCTGATTTTCTCGCATGCGGGTTGGTATGTGACTTGGATTTCTTCCCTGATTTAGCACGAGGCTTGCTCATAACTGCACACCACAATAGTATGTAATGTATATGCGAGTGACTATGTACGCTAACTAAGCGTGTTGTGATAGATGAACGTGTATAAGTAAATAATACAGCCTTAACCAAAGACTAAATAAATAGAAGATACACGTACAAGTTACTATTGAAGACCGACAAATGTACGTGTGATACGTCTAAAATAGAGATTATCGATGTTTTATAAATGCTCTATTAAAAATGTACTGGAAAAGCTTTTTAGCCGAGTATATCCATCTCATCGATTGCGCGCCAAATCGTAACCGCATCGCTTCGGACGTAAAGTCGGAAGCTTTTGTGCGACTTTCTATTGATTATGAAATTACAATATAACAATTACTGTTATTTCATTAATAGATATTTATTAAGATTGCATTTACTGACTGATGAGTATAACAACTACCAATGAATTGGACTTAAATAAATGACTCAGCCACGGAACTAAAAATAGAATACTCGCATCTTATTCACAGGAGACTATTCACTATTCCCAAAAGGGCTCGCTCAGTCAGTGTGGACTGTGGAATCACACTCAATGAGGCAAATATATAACGGTGTGTTCGGCACACGACACGCCTTTAATACCGACTGCCTGCCTACACAGCAAACCCCACTAACCCGTTTGGTCGTGTAGCCTCTAGTTCGCCCTTGCAGTGTCTTTGGGACTATTGGTGTAGCTTACCTCTGTAGTAGCAGAGTAAACACATAGCTCTGAACAGTTTACTGCCTGTAATATATACCTGTAACTCTGAACAAACCACTATTCAAAACAACATGTTGTCGCTTGGTCGTTTGCGTGCGTTGAACACGGCCAGTGGTGTCAGTAGCGTGCCGCGTCTGCTGAAGGTCTCGCCTACGCTGGTACATGGTAAGTCTCTATTGTAGATAATTTAAATGTATGTTGTAGACACTTGGGTAATAGTACTGGTACTCGAATAGTATGTGGGGTGTTAGTGCTAGAGTGCGCCTCTTTTGTGTCGGATAGTATGAATACAGCCTAATTAGCAATTATGTGCTATAGACGGTAGATCTTTGCGTCTCTCATTCAGACTATATATATCTATATCTATATCTATATCTATATC